GTGTTGCTAGCAGGCCCTGTCAGAGGCTCAGGTGAAGGCCATGATTCTGAATTAATATTGCACATCCAACAGAAGTGCAAACAGGGCTTTTGTGGGTTTTAACATAATGTTACTCGGACCTGCACTTAGTACTGATAATGTACTTTCTTTTTTTTCATTTAAAGAAATATCTTTATTTGTAAAGTGAACAATGACTGGAATAGTCATAAATACAACTAATCTGAAGGCAGTGTAGGTCATTATGTGACACAGCCTATATATTTACATACAGTCTATATACAGTCTTATTTCTATAGAAGTGGTATAGGGTAGAATACACTAATATGTGTGGAGGTGGGGGTGAAGTAGGTGGGTCCATTAGACCCACAAGAGGAAGATACACATGTATTTGTTTTATTTGCTTGAAATTATCACTAAACCTGAGTTAATTTGAACTTTACTGGAATCCGTGTCTCATTTAAAAGAATATGGTACTATTTACATTGAAAGGACAGTAGTTCACATAGGTTGAGTGTGAGAGTGAGGGCTCATAGGCCTCTGGCCCGGTCTAAAGGGGTTTCTCCCTCACTATACATGGAATAAAACATGTTAAAATAAAATATTGTTATCCGTTGGTCTCTGTGTACCTTATGTATGTACCAAAGGACAAAAAGAGTCTACAGCCATGCCAACAGAATTCAGAAGAACCCCCAGCTCAGCAACATTTTTCCATCACATACTGAAAGCCTCAGGCCCCATCCACACTACTCCGTTATTGTTTACAAAGGAGAATTAAAACGAATACGATCTCCATTCTCACCAGCGTTTCGGTTGCGTTTTGGAGTTGATCTCCGTCTACATTACAACGACTGAAAACGCACAGCTAGGACCCGTTCAGGTGCACTGGGCATGCGCGTGCCAGTGTAAACATGAAGCACATGGTCTGTTCCGTAGTTACATAAGATTTGGCGAAAGAATAAATAAAAAAATTTAATTCAATAAAGAGCTGGGACTGTTACTGAATGTAACAGGAGTGTGGCTTCAGAAAACAGACTGGGAGTTGCTGCAAAGTAAACGGCGACATGCACAGTACAAGTGTAGGCAGATGAGTGTTATTTGCATGGTACAGAATATTTTAATAAAATGTGATATCAAAAACCCGGTCAGCAGCATTGTGTATCTGCTTTGCAAGCCCCAGTCAGAGAGCCGAGCGTGAGCGGCTGCATCAGCGTTTCTAAAGTCCTCCGTTTTGGCCCGTCTTCACGAAAACGCCCTCCGGAGTTTTGAAACGCAAAACGGGGTCGGCAGCGTTTCCAAACTTCTCCGTTTTAGGTCTTTGTTTTCATCGTTGTAGTCTGGACGGGAGGTGCAAACTTAGCAAAAGGTCTCCGTTTTAATTCGAAAACGCAGTAGCGTGGATGGGGCCTCAGTGCTGCTACACCACAAGCAGGGATATAGAGAAAATGACTGATCCTCAAGTCTGCTAAGAAAGAGTAACAGAGCTAAAGCCACCTCAGTTATTTGGTTTCAATCCCTCACACCCATTTAGTAACATGAGTCATTGTACAAGTGTGTGACAACTGCTAAAATTATTAGGTGAAGTTATAAATATTTCATAAATATTTCTTGCTGACAATGAATAAATAATATAATTTTCGTGAGACCTAAAGTTATTCTGCTTCCTGGTAGTTAAAATATTGTTTGGAGGTTATCAGCTCTCTCTTGATGTTGAACCCTAACCCTAACCCTAAAACAGAAAGTGAAATCAAGAGAGAGTAGGCTACCCAAGGTCATTTCTAAAGAGACGATTTCTTAAATGCATAGGGGTCCATTGAGAAGGTCATCTGACTCCAGTTTTAGGTATAAACTAATAAACAACAGGTTTTGACAGAGGCAGGGCTACCCAAAGGCCTACAATTTTTTCAGGGAGGTCCGGTGATTTGACCTACATGTCAATTTTGAGAACTCTCTTTTAGACACTCAAGGAACTTTAACTTTCTTTTTGTCTCTGCAATCTGAACGAGTGCAGGATCATATTTTTCTACATCAAAGGTCACATGCTTTGTTTCTGTTGTCCTTACGGTTTTGCACAATTGCTAAGACACATTTTTTGAAATCCATTTTGTCGAAACTTTAAACACAAAACCAAATCTTTAAACTACATTCACAAAACCCCTGACTCTTCCGGCAAAATCAAACAATCGCCTCAAGACCATGTGATCTGTGCTCAAAATCAAACAATGCTTTCAAAACATAAACACAGCCAGTCAAACACTACAGAGCGTTCTTTAGACACTAGCCTACTTTAAAAAATTTAGAACAGTGTCCAGGGCATGTAGTTACAGAAAATGTTTTTTTGCATATAGGAAACACATTTTCCTATTTAAAAACATATAATCACAACTTAATACAATAAATATATAGTATACTGTAAGTACTGCAAGTAATACAGTATTGAATATCTGTATATTCAGCACTTGCATAAAAATACAATACTGTAAGCCCAAAGAACAAAAAAACAAAACAAAATCACATTACACTCAAAAATATTGTGCAGCCGCAAAATCAAAGTCAATGAGAGGATCATTCCACCTCAGCATCCTTTCTTTGTGTTGGGTCCGGCCAAAGGACTTCATCCACATCACATGCAACCGTGTCCCTTGCCAAGCACAGGAGGAAAACTCTAGGGTGTGCTGGATGCAGCCTTACTGTAACAACAATCCACACCTATCACCACAGGCCAATTTCATTGCCTGTAAGAGATATCCGCTAGTAAATGGGTTTCTGTCATAGACCTTCTACCACCAGGCAGAGAAAAAATCCTTTATTGGATTGAAGTAAGGGCTCTATGGTTGAAGGTAATCATTTATGAATCACTGGTTGCTGGTTGATGTTGAACCACTTGCTTAGCGGGACACCACAGTGAAAACTGACATTGTCCCATAGACAGGATATGCTGCCGGCTGATAATCCTGCTGCTCACGCTCGAACACAAATCGTCAGTGTTATATGGCCCCAAGGTTGAATGACAGTAGAGAACCTGTCCCTTACTTATAGCTTGGTCAAAGGGTGACATTGCCTCTACGCTGGCCAGGGACTTGACCGCATATTAGTTTGATCACATCATTAGAAACAAGTGTACAGAATTATGAGTTGTGTATAAAAGATGACAGCTGTGTTGTAGTTGTGTTTAACTTTTGCCTCATGTATTTACCATTTTGCAACACAAGTGCATCACAGTGCAAAATGTGTTTTAGTGAGTGAGAATGTATTTAGTTTTGCAAAAAGAGTGGATGAGATTTGCAAAAAGTGTCTTAATTACCTGAATTTGTTTAAGGTTTTGCCAAAAGAGTGACTGATTCGACAAATGGAATTATGCCTCTGAGCATTGGGTTCAGACAATGGGGTTTAGTGTTTTAGCAATTGTGAAAAACTGTAATATAAAATATGTGAAATACCCATCAGAATATTTTTGCATTTGTTTTTCTCAATAATCAATGAGAAGCTAGAACATTGTATTTGTGCTAAGGATTGTTTGTTTAGGTCCATATCTGGCACAAAACTGCACAACAGAAAGACCTATAATTGTATAATAATAGCATATAATCGTGTTTAAATTTTAGTGTGAGAGTTATGATAAAGTAGTTTAACATTTGAATTAAGTGGCAGCAGCTTGACCCTTCCCTAGTGGCTTTAAGGATAAAACTGTACTGCCTCCATCTGGTGTCCATAGCAGTGTAGTGCCCTACTGGAATTGGAGGGAAATGTATGCCTCGTGAATGTGTGAAAGTGTTTTTCTAGTTCTGCTTCTTTTTACAGGTCTAAATAGTACAGTAATTTAAAACACCTGAAGTTAAAATCAAAAAAATTAAAATATTTTATCAGATTTAATACATACCATAATCATATGAGGTGTTACATTCACAAAACACCCTCTCCAACAGGCAGAGCTGAGGAAGGATTTGCCCATGTGTTGACATGATGATGGGAATCTGTGACAGGCTGACAGAAAAGCCTTTTGTGTGATGGCCCCAGCAGAAGGTGTGGATGAATAATTGATCCCAAGAAATCAAATTAGTTTTTCTCTGACCTTGTTGGGCAAAACATATCCACACAAGAGTTTTTATTCATGTTGTTGGTTAAAAATGAGACATGCACACATAAATACTGTACCATTTGGTATTATAATTACATTTTCATTAAATTCTCCAAGCTGTTTACCTTTCAAATGTTTTTAAGATTCCGTTGTGGCAAAGGGCGGGCTGACATGAACATGTTTATTGGGAATGTTGACGTTGAGTAATTAATTTAGGCATCACTTAACATGTTGCCTGATTATAAAATCTATGATTGCCTTAGCCTATGCAGAATATTTACATTAGTCTTTGTCTTCTGTTCTTAGAAAAAATAAACAGCTCCTGGGAGCGTGGCTTTGTACCTCTCAGGGCGTATGAGGTATGGTAAATATGGATATAACAAGGGTTATTCTATGAATTCTGCTGCTGGATTACTAACCATGCAAAGCAGTCAACTGCCCCAGTGACCCCAGACTCCCAGGACCCCAAAAAGCCCATGTTCACAGCATGTCAGTTGGTTTTAATAAGTTGTACATTTGTAGGAGAATTTGCACCACTGAGGTATATTAGTAACTGTTTTTCAAGTAAATATACAGTTTGAGATTTTGAGAAATATGTTAGAGTTAAATGAGGAGATTGATCCCACTCTCATGTGTGTATCCTAGCTTAAATGTAACTCTACAGCCAGCATCCTGAGCTTAGCTTAGCACTTGGAAACAGGAGGAAACAGTTACCATGGCTCCACCTGCCAGCACCTAAAGCTTACTTAACATGTTATATTGTTATATTAGTATCACTGTACACAGACTGAAGTGTCAAAACATCAACTTGTGGTTTTAATGGTGGTTAGACTATATGAAAACAAATCTATAGGTGTCGCAGTGACTTCCTGGAGTTTCCGCTTGTTGCCTGGCATCCTCACCTTTCGTGTTTACAGTTTAGTTTTTGTACCTGATTACACAAACAAGTTAGCCATAACAAAATGAGCATTAGAGGTGCTGGTTGAACTACTCTTAGACAGAGCCACGGCAGCTGTTTCCTCCGGTTTCCAATCTTAGTGCTAAGCTAAGCTAACCATCAGTAGTGCCATCTGCATGTCAATATTTAACATACATGTGACTGGTATCAATTTAACTATTAAATATGTCAAACTAACTGTGTATACTAACTAAACAAACAGCATGGGGGCCTTTAACATTAGACTACATGGGCTCACCAGGTTAATCTGGCCCAGCAACACTGGACACTGTGTAATATTTAATATGAAAAGCAATAGGTCTATATGAACCGTCCTAAGATGCATTAAACCATTTTAGTGGCATACATTTAGAGCCATACAGGTATAGTGACATTTCGAACAGGCCTAACTTAGTCGACAAACAGAAAATATCTAAATATGAAAAGTCACTGTGGGACATAGTGCAGTGATGGCAGATATGTCTTCAGTACATCCAAGGCACGGCTGACAGAACCACCTGCAGCTAGGACACATATGTGCAGCGAAAACACCTATGCCAGTGTTTATAGACCTGCAGCAGCCTGCGTGGTGTTTCCCAAACTCTGTCGTCACCACCAGTCACGACTAGTGCGCGTGTAGATGCAATGATCATGTTCCTCCTCCTCCACCAACACCACCACCTCCTCCTCATCATCATCTATCTGATACACTAGGGCTTTCCCTTTACATGCAACGACCATGCAATAAAAACAGAGTCTAGTCCTCCCAGCCCCACCACCACCTGGAGTATTTGTGCACACCACCATGCAAGCGACGGACACCGGAGCATCTGACACCGACGCTACTGTAAACAGTAGCAGCCTCAGCAACACCGCAGACGTCGACGAGAGCGACGGGGCAGGGGAGAGGATGGACAGGACGGTGCCAAGCGAACAGCAGGACAGGACCAAAAATCACCAGCAGCGGCCAACGTCCTCAACGCCGTCCGGAGTGCTCGGTAAGTCACAGAAAACCCTGTAAAAATACTGTTATGTGTTCTGCGTGCGTACAGTGGAGATCAGAGGAAGGATTTGTGTTTATTTGGAGAAAAAAAAGGATGGGGATTCGGCTACTGTTCATGGGCAATATGGTGCAGTCACCGATGCTTGACACACTTCACCTCACTGTATGAGTCACGGGAGACTGAAGGGGTCAATCGATTGTGTTTGGGTTTTGATTTAGGTGCGTCTTCCCCATTCCCGCTAACGGTACATAGTGCGCATTCCGATTCACACAGGCCCGGGAAGAGTCCGGCTTTTAATGGTCCACAGGTGCATGCAGGAGTCGTATGCAGCGGAGGTACATATCCCGACGGGCTGTGCTACACTATACTTTGAAGAGAGTAAAGATTGTGTTGCAGGCTCCGATGTCAGGTGTGTCCGTTTTGTCTCAGGTGTTGAAGACTTGAGGATTATACTGGAGATAACTGTAGTGGTGAGCAAGCGATTGGTGCTATGGTTAGTTGTGGAACTGCAAGATGAGGATTAATAAGCAGAAGCGAAAATGTGATATTTTATAACCTTTCTTCCTGGAGCCCCTGTCCATCTCAAGGTACCCTGAATTGTTGAGTTTTATGCCCATTCAGCATCTCTTGCGAGGAGGAGTGACTCAGGCCAAGACCTGGTCATCTGTATATGGTCATATACAGCTGGACTGTGACTGCAGTTATTGCTTTGATAATTTACCATCTAAGACCATTATTAACTAGAAGTGAGCGATTTCACAGCCTGAAGTAATCTTGAAATATCTTCTACATCTGTTTCACCAATATTAGTGTGACTATAGGCTTGGTGTTGTTCTTTTAGCTGAGCTGTAGAATATGAAGGTGCATCTGATCATGAAGTGGTGGTGCACTGTTGCACTGGTGAACTAGACAGCATAACCACATGCAGGTCTGAATGTGGCGGTCTGTCTGATGTGACTTTATGGCCTGAACCATATCCAGGCTGCCTACCTGCATTTTCTCCATTACATGCTGGGAAAGGCACCAAACTCACTGCCCCAGCTGCCAAATCTGTGACTGAGAAACAGATGTAGAAAAAAAGAAATGGTTATTCTCTTTGAATTGTTTATGAAAATGTATTTTGAGTCCTAACTTTCTGAAACAGTTGTGGGCCTTTGATTAACCCAGTGTGTTTCTGCCAACTTTGAGACAGGAAGTGAAGTGGAATGTACTATGTTGATTGGTATGACCTAAAAATATGCAGTATAACAATAATTGTCTAAGTTTTTGTAAAGATCAGTGCTTTAGATTGGGTGATTTAGGTCGGTTGTTGCAGCACTTGTCAGGTTATAGACATTTATTTAAGGTTATGACATGAGTTTTACTAACTTGAGCTCTAACCTCTACCAAGCATGACTGAGTGAAATATATGTATATAGCCTATCTATATCCAAGATCTGTCTATATTGTTATGCTTATTAATGGCAAATTACATGTCAAGCTATATGGCTCACCACGTTCGACTGTATTTCAGAGGTCATTCTGGAAGAGGTCTGACTTATGATATTTCAAAAACAAAAAATACCACGATCCAATTACAATTGTAGACAATAAACAATTACTCTCAATTTATTACCTAGTCGAGGTTAGGAAGCTTCAAAGTCTATATCACTTACCGCAACTGTTTACACAAAAAGAAGAGTAAAAAATGTCTATAGTATATTCTAGTTTGTAAATCTATACAAGCTCTACTGCAGACTGACATTCAATCATCTTATCATTCATGGTAATGTTTTTCCGAATGGATAAATTGCCGCTGCTTGGCCAAGAGATTTGCATGTCAGACATGTCTGGTGGCCTTAATGAGCAGTGTGTCATAGGTACAGTATACTGTTTCTTACAGTTACTGAGTGGGCGTGTTGTTCAAAAACATCTATAACAGAGAGGTGACAGCAGCACTCACTGCTCCCCATAAGAGGGATAAAAGTGCTCATAGGTGACGTTATATTTCAGTTGGGCTGCAGAATGTGAAATGCTGATCACAGACACGTCCTATGAGAGTGTCCCAGTGCGGTTCAGTGAACAATAAAGAGATCAGTCAGTTACTCACTATTGCGTGAGTCGTGAGACCGAGAGTGTTACTTGAGAGTATCACTTTCACTTTTGAGTGTTAACCAACATGTAAAAGAAAAAATAAAAGATGACTTCAGAGCATACACTGCATTGTGAATAAGTGCAAGCGGGACAACACCGCTGGGAAGGCCTGCTGCTATACCTACATCTATTTTTAAGAGACAGTCTTGAAAAGTTAGTTTGCTAATGGCTATTTACACACCACTCAGTTTACATATCATCTATTTGTTCACAGCTCAAAACGTTGGCTCATAGTCATATGACCAGTGCAGCACAGTCAACGTGTCTGCACAATTTCATTTATGTAATTTTGTCTTTCCCCCAATTCTCCATGACAGAGCAAAAAAATAGGAAATTATGGAAAAATATGGTGGAGAAAAAACATCAGTGATGAGTGTCAGGGTGATACTAATGACTAACCCGTCAAAATATCACCATCTGCCCCCTGCACTCTACCTAGCCCTCTTTCTCAGTCATTTTAAACTGTATTTTACCCAATTTGATTCACTCTTACCTTCTCGCCCTGCTGCCCCCTTTTTCCTTTTAGATAAATTGTTCGGGAAGCGCCTTCTGCAGGCCAGACACTACATTATGTCTCGGAAGTCCTGGCTCAAGATGGTGCCCACCGAAAACTGTGATATCCTGATGACATTCCCAGGTACTGAAGGCTCCGGCCTGTCCTCCTTGTTCGTCCTGTGATGAATCCCTCACTGTAGAGAGAACAGTGGATCCTCATTAAATGTTTTTGGTGATCAGCCAGCCACTCAGGACTTAGAATGGTCTCTGAGGACAATTAGATCTCATCCATTTAGTGTACTTGTATCTACAGACTAGTCCTTCCTGCAGTATTTTAAGGAAGCTGCAGTTGTGGGTAGAAAAATGTGAATTGGACGGATGAACACTTCATTGGGCTTTATCCTCAGGGGTGGACTGCTGTTGCTCTTTGGGGACACATATACTATGTTTGGCATACATTATCTTTTTGAGGCCTTCCTCTGTTATAGAGATGCACATTTTACAAAATAGCTCAATAGTATATGTTGTGTCATACATACAGTGTTAACTCAAACAAATGTAGAATTGATCAACTGCAGTAAAAGTGTTTGTTGTGCAAGCATCAACAAGGACTCCAGCCTTCAAAAATGGATTTTCTCCAAAACCGCCATAATAGCTACCACAATTTGAACGTGAAAGGCATTGCTTTTTTAGATGGCTGTTAAGGTCAAAGTCAAATTTGGTGGTGTTGCTAGAGTCTGACTAGTCCCGCTGTGTTTAATACATCTATCTCGTGGACAAAAGTGGGGCAAGGTGAAATAATCCCAAATTAAATTGTTTTACTGTAATTGGTAATCAAAGCATGACCTACATATGTAATGTAAATTAGTCATGAATTTAGTCTTTGTGCATGCTGGATGGATCCAAAGTCTCAGTGATTTCCAACTTCATGTTTATTGTTTTCAGCTGTTCTTATGATATGGAGTCAATGGTAATGATACAAAAGGCACACAATTAATAGCTTAACTGAGACACAATGTGCTGCGTACAGTTGGCTGAAACAGCTGGAATCAGGATTGGAATAAATACGAGTTAAGATTTAATTAGAGTGGCCTATTACAGTCAACACAGCACTGCTTCTTAGGCCTTCTGTCAGGACGGTGAATTGGATTTGGTCCAGCTTCTCTTTATACAGCAGTAATCTGATCATTTCCTGCATCTAGCAAACATGCCTGCAAATGTGTGAGTAAATAAAGTGAATGTAGATCAAATAAACTGTTGTTTCAAAATATGTATTATGATGAACATATTCACTGTTGATGAAAATGCAGTTGTCTATAAATGATGGAAAGCATGCTACCACACGTTCTCCCTTACAGATGCAATAGATGACCACACTCTGCTGTGGCTCCTGAATCAGATTCGTGTTGGAATCCCACAAGTCAGCATTCAGGTTCGGCAGCATAAACACACCCAGACACACGCCTTCTTCATCACGACAACATTTGAGAAGTAAGACCCCGAAACTCACATTCACACTGTGTGTGTGCGTGCATGCATGCATGTGTGGTCTTAGTTTAAACTTTTCCAAGTGGCCACTGAGCACTGGTGCTTTTTCCTGGAGTTAGAATAATGGTTAGGTAGGGTGATTTAAATGTTATTCCTATAGGTTATTGGTAACATTTTACTTCATTATTTAACTGCATATACAGAGGGTACAGCAAAATTGCTAAAATGAAGTCCAGGGTTCCCAAACCTAAAGTTGGAAATCTCTATTAGATTTTGTAAAAGACAGGATTTTTTAAGGCAAATTAGCACGTATGTGTTTGTATGCATGTGTATATGCATGTGTATGAAGATTTCTGCACCACAGCATCATAAAGGTAATACATAGAGTGATTAAGTTTGTTTTTAATTTTTTTGTTATGAATGTCTCTAATTTTTAGCCTATTGAAAATAAAGGAATAGGCCGACATTTGGGGAGATACACTTATTTACTTACTTTCCATTCTAATTAGTTTATTTCATAAAAAAACCCAAAGTGTATGTGTGTATCTCCCAAAATATGGAACTATTCCTTTAAGCACACGTTAGTTGTGTGCTTACCCTGTGCACTTAATCTATCAGACATCTGCAGTCCAGCCTGTACACGGTGTTTGTGCTCCATTAGGTTTAATCTTGCTGTTCATTTAGCCTGTGCTCTCCTCACACGCAGCTTACTGCGGGGAGCAGAGCAGATGGGCATGCACAAGGCCGTCAAACCACAATTTGGTGGCGGTATGCGGCGCTTTTCCTGCGAGGAAGACAACATCTATGAGAACATAGAGAGCGAGCTCTGCTTTTTTACCTCACAGGTTAGAGCTCAAAACTGTGGGCCATGTGATATGTAATATGCATAATGACACTTGCTACAAACTGAGTGTGTTATTAAAGATCTGTGTATTTATTTAAATTTCAGGAATTAAAATGATATGTCTAATAGTTATGATTGTTTTTCTCCCCATAACTGTGATGGTTTTCAGGAGCGTCAGAGCATTATAAAGTATTGGCTGGACAATCTGCGAGCCAAACAGGGGGAGGTGCTTCACAACATTCACTTCCTGGAGGGACAGCCAATCAGTATGCTGCCATTTTATTATGATTGAACTTTTTCAATACTGTTCCACATACCTTGTGCATTGCTTAGTGTTGAAATGTTACCTTAGAAACCATGTATGAGTTTCATGATGTCTCCTCTTTAGTTCCAGAGCTGGTAGCTCGGGGGGTGATCCATCAAATGTTTCCTCTCCATGAGCAGAGGATCCTCAACCAGCTGATGACATCCTGGGTCCAGGCTGTGTGTGAAAGGCAGCCCCTGGGTAGGAAATTATAATTGAAGAAAATTTGGCAGGACAGTACACAGCAGGCCTGGCTGTTAATGTCACATTAGTTTATACTATAAGATAGTATCAGCTTGTTGGTAATGTAAGTGATTGAGAAATTATGATTCTTCCCAAAGGCTCAATATTAGCTTGTTTACAACTTCATCTGCTTTATAGATGATATCTGTGACTACTTCGGAGTGAAGATCGGCATGTATTTTGCCTGGCTGGGTTTCTACACTAACTCCATGCTTTACCCTGCTGTCATTGGCTTTCTGCTCTGGATACTCGCAGAGGCTGACCAGGTACTTGAAACCTATTCTATAACAAGATTTGTTATACAAGATCTGACTTTTTTAACCACTTGGGATATTATGGAGAACCCCCCTTTAACTGTCACAATGTATGTGTACTGACGCTGATTTCTTTTTTCTTTCATCCACATATTAGTTTTATTTCTATGCCAGGAGTGTCAGGAATTTACTGAGGTTTTTATGTCCATTTCTGACCTCATACATTTTATATTATTTCCTGTGTGTGTTTTGTAAAAAAGAGACTTTGACAGCAAGCTGAAGCAGCGCACTGACACAAATTAATTAATGAAACGGAAATGTGCGTGGCATAATCATACTTTTAAAGGTAATATAAGTTTTCATTCTCTCATGCTCGTTCACAGACCAGTCAGGATATCTGCTGTGTGGTTTTTGCCCTCTTCAATGTTGTGTGGGCCACGTTGTTTCTGGAGCGCTGGAAGAGGCGGGAGGCGGAGCTGGCCTACAGGTGGGGCACCCTGGACACCCCCGCCGAGTCCTTGGAGGAGCCCAGACCCCAGTTCAGGGTGAGGATTGTTACTGAAGTTTGAGCATGCATAGAGGAAAAAGCTGCTCAGATCGACTATCAAACGATCACAGTCACTTGCTAATAGTCAAAAAGTTTCATGCAGCAACATTACAGACAGTAAATTCTGTTATTTCAGTACACCAGTTCCACTATGCTCAGGTCGCAGTATCAGTCCGGTTGAGTGGTTTATCAGCGAGCTCTTGCGTAGCTCTACGGGATTGGCACACAATACCAGGAAATGTGATCATTATGTTTACAAGAGGAGTGTGTCTAAAGACGCCACGTGCTCTCAGACAAAAGTGGGGCAGGTAGCCACTCCCCCACCCCCACCCCATCTCCTGTGGTGTAGAATGAATGGAAGTCTTAGGGGAGGGGATGTGGGTGAGTTTGGATGTGCCCGATTTTGGATGTGCCCGGCTAGCTCAGTCGGTAGAGCATGAGACTCTTAATCTCAGGGTCGTGGGTTCGAGCCCCACGTTGGGCGGCAAAGCTTTTGAGGATGCACTTCTGGCAACAGCAGTGTGGTTACTCTGAATAACAGGACATCAGAATCAGCTTTATTGCGAGGTATGTGTACACATACAAGGTATTTGGCTCTGGATTGTACAATGCTCATGATGTGCTTACTTATACAATAACACAATAATACAGCAATAAAATCAAACACAGGCTACAGTATAGAAAACACATATATACACACTATAAACAAAACAAACAGATTGAGACAATAGTGCAATGAGCAGAGTGCAAAGGATGCAGGAGTAAATTATTATTACCATTATTGTTACTGTGTACATGTTGGAGGTGGATGTGATATGCAGGTACACATACACATACAAGCATACATGTACACAATGTGATGAGTGCAAAGAATGCTGGAATAAATAAGTATTATATGCAGGTGTGAACAGCTCTGAAGAATGATAAATAAATAATAATTGGACACTGTGAGGCAGAGTCAGCTGTTCATCAGAGTGATGGCTTGTGGGAAGAAACTGTTCTTGAGTCTGTTGGTTTTGACAGTGCTCTGTAGCGCCTACCAGAGGGGAGAAGCTGGAACAGGTTGTGTCTGGGGTGAGATGGATCTGCAGTGATGTTTCCTGACTCTGTAAATGAAGAAGTCCTCATTGGAGGGCAGGTTGGCACCAAGGATTTTTTCTGCAGTCCTGACTGTCCGTTGTAGTCTGCTCCTGTCCTTTTTGGTGGCAGATCCAAACCACACAGTGATGCATGTGCAGAGAACAGACTGGATGATGGCTGTGTAGAAGTGGATCAGCAGCTCCTTAGGCAGGTTGAGCTTCCTGAGCTGGCGCAGGAAGTACATCCTCTGCTGGGCCTTCTTGATGATGGAGTCAGTGTTGGGCTCCCACTTTAGGTCCTGGGATATAGTGGATCCCAGAAACCTGAAGGATTCCACAGCAGACACAGGGATTGAGTATGGGGATGGGGGGACTCCTTCTGAAGTCTACGGTCATCTCCACAGTTTTGAGCGTGTTAAACTCCAGGTTGTTCTGGACAGCTGATCAACCTCCCGTCTGTAGGCCGACTCATCACTGTCCTGGATCAGACCAATGACAGTTCATCATCAAACTTCAGGAGTTTGACAGATGGGTCTCCTGAGGTGCAGTCATTGGTGTAGAGGGAGAAGAGCAGCGGGGAGAGCACGCACCCCAAGGGGGCGTCAGTGCTAATAGTCCGGGTGCTGGATGTGATTTTTCCCAGTCTCACCTGCTTATTCCTGTCAGTCAGGAAGTTTGTGATCCACTGACAGGTGGGGGCTGGCACAGTGAGCTGGGTGAGTTTGGTGCTGAGGATGTCCGGGATGATGGTGTTGAACGCCGAGCTGAAGTCCACGAACAGGATCCTTGCATATGTCCCTGGAGAGTCGAGGTGTTGCAGGATGTAATTCAGTCCAAAGTTGATTGCTTCATCCACTGACCTGTTAGCCTTGTAGGCAAACTGCAGGGGTTCCAGCAGGGGGCCCGTAATGTCCTTCAGGTGGGCCAACACCAGTCTTAATGATATGACATAATGACATGAAAAGATGATGTTATTACTTATGTGGTAATTGCAGTTCAGTTGATGAAGTGGTGTTTCATTTGTTTGACGTTTTCTACAAAAATCCGGTATAACAAATATAGGACATGCAATCAAGCAAGCAGTTACTATGAAGCACATTCTTCACAAACATTTCCAATCCAAGATGATTGCAGTCATGAAAAATAAGTCTGTAATACTCTCTCAGGCTGTTTTTATTGCTCTGCTGTGTCTGCAGGGAGTGAAGCGCTGCAGTCCCATAACAGGCTGTGAGGAGTTCTACTACCCGCCCTGGAAGAGAGCTCTGTTCAGATGGCTGGTCAGCCTGCCCATCTGCCTCCTCTGTCTCTGTTTTGTCTTCCTCGCTATGCTCCTCTGCCTGGAACTGCAGGTTTGAACAGATAACACAGCATGCAAGTCCAGTGAAGAGAAAAAGGAGTGTAAATAGTCTGGGGCTAATAAATGGGGATGATGAAGTGTATAATTAATTTCTTGTAAGGACTTTAAACCCCTTACTGGAAACGTCACGATTAACACAGAAAGAGCTAATAGTTTATTTCATGATCCACAACTCCAGTTTAGTCTGACATTGTGTAATTTGATCATTTTTACAAACAGGTTAAATAAGGCCCAGTCAAATATAGCACTTGCCAGTTTATATTAATTTATTAGCCTTTTAAAAATAGCTGTGGGATTTGAGAGAGTAGGTGTGAATGAATAGGACATATTAAATATGTATCATGCTTCTAATGCACCTTGCAGGAGGTGGTGATGGAGATTCAGGAGCTACCTGGTATCACAAGATTCATTCCTAAGATACTTCTGGCCCTTACTGTAACCATATGTGACGAAGTGTATAAGAAGATTGCATACTGGCTTAATGACATGGGTAAGTGACTGTCATTTATTATATATCTTTGTGATATATAATAGATTAATTGTTTAATAAGAAATTAAATTAAAATGGAATGTATTTGCCCATAGTTGTAATTTAGGATAGACACCCTCTTAGTATGCATGAGAATTATTTTATGCTACGTGAGTACTGAAAACTTTTAAGCTCTGAGGTTCCTGTCCTTTGCATTCAGGAGATACCATATGAGGTTGTTGAAGGTAAAACCTTTTTACTATCATTCAGCTGCCCTTTGACAAATGCTCCCTCTTACATTTTTTTTCTTCATTCAGAGAACTACAGACTTCAGAGTGCCTATGAGAATAATCTCATCATCAAAATGGTTTTTGTAAGTCATGTTTCCTTTGTCTGTTTGGCATAATAGAGACAATTCATCATTCTTAATTGACTTCCAGTAATGTTTCATTCCTATGGTTGTTTTACAGTTTGAATTCATCAATTCTTACCTTAGCCTTTTCTATATCGGCTTCTACCTCAAGGACATGGAGCGACTTAAGGAGGTAACAACTGTTGACAATAGAGTGCTGCAAGAATGAGTCCTAGAACCTGGAAATGAGTTAGTATTTTTGCACAACTGGTTCCCTCGTCTTGAAGAAGCTTAGAAGCTTAGTGGTGACAACACTGAAGTCTGGCGACCGTGGTGTAGTTTGTTTATAGCCTGACGTGAGCTTTTTACTTCTGGCGATTGCATTTAAACTGCATAAATCATAAAAGTGGTGTCCATTTGTGAAGATTGTCTTGCTGAACAAAATATTTAAAGGTTCAGTGTGTACGTTTTCGTTGGATCTAGTGGGGAGTGTTGCGAATTGCAAACAACAGTTTAGTCACCGCTCACTCCTCCCTTTCCAAGCGTGTAGGGGAGCTACGGCCAACACGCTCTGTCTGCTCTTGTGCTAAATAATACGTGTGGGCCTCCATTTGTCCAAATTTCACTTCTCTTCTTACTTCTAATAAACCAGACAAACTATTACCACTACTAGGGGTGGGAATTGCAGGGTACCTCACGATACGATACGATACATGGCTCACAATAACGATAATGTGATGATACAGCAATTCTGCGATAATCGATATATCGCTAGACAATCCTAAAATGATACATCACAAAATGCCCAGGAAAAAGTTCTCTATTTATTTGTTGCAAATCCAACCACTTAGAAAACAGCACAATTCTGCAGCACACAGCTATTTTTTTTAATTAAAATTAATTTTATGTATCAATATGATGGGCTGCAATATTGATCATGATCATGGAAAAGTGTATAACGATAAATGTAAATGCTCTGTACTTGTATAGCGCCTTTCTACTCTTTTTTCGACCACTCAAAGCGCTTCACACATCTGCATGCAGTCACACACTGAGCCTAAGTGCTCAAACGGAAACTAACATTCACACTCACTCATACACTGGCGGAATAGCTGCAAGTCAGGGTTCAGTATCTTGCCCAAGGACACTTCGACACACAACCAGGGGGGAGCCAGGGATTGAACCGCCAACCTTCCGATTAACTGCCAACCCACTCTACCTCCTGAGCCACCGTTGATATATTGCTGTATCGATGTATTGGCACACCCCTAACAACTACTACTTCCTTTTTCTTTGTACATTTTCAGCGTAGTGACGAAACACATTCTGTAGAGCTGTTTGTGCTTTTGGGCTACTGTAGAAACATGGTGGAGCAACATAACAACTTGTAAGGGGACTCGTGTTATATGTAGATAGAAATGGCTCATGTCAATAGATCCTCCTAAATACTATGTACTAAATACCCTTAAGTAATAAAATTTAGTTTGTCAGAGAGCATATTTTCAATAATATGCCAAAATCCAATGGAAAAATCCTATTGTCGAGGGAAGGGATGCTAACTTGTGGGTGGTTGGCCTACAAAAATATGTCCTCCCTGCAGCACTCTATATCACAAACAATAAGACAAAATGTTGGACTTCTGACAATATGTACTGTAGCTCTCGCTGAACATTGGCCACCAATGGTGATAACTGACCTCTCAAAATTCGTAGTCATTTGCAGGCTTTTGGAGTGTGTGCATGTTTTCTCTTTTGCACTTCTTAGATTCAGCCCAGTAACAGATGTTATCCTACTCCTCACAGATGCTAGCCACTCTACTGATCTTCCGCCAGTTCCTACAGAACATTAAAGAGGTCCTCCAGCCTTATCTCTATGAGCAGAACAAGCTGGGTGTCTTCACCCCAAAGGTGCTGTGGGAGCTACTCCAAGCCATCATGCTCAAGTATGGCCGCCTGGCTCTGGGAAAGGCCCAAGCCTCAATGACAGGCTATTCCTTCCTGGGTCCCAGAGGGATCCCTGTCAGTCACACTGCTAACGGTAACCCGGAGACAAGGAGAAGAGGGGATCTGAAAGCCGGGTTCAGGCTGACAGAGGAGGAGTGGGACATGAATGACAGCAGTCTGAAGCAACGTAAAGTCAGCTTCACAGAGAAGGTCGACTACCAGGATGTCACGACAGAAACACAGACGGTGTATGACAGCTCCCTTGAGGACAGTCCCACGATGGTGGAGGAAGGGATGGATCGGTCCAGTATTTTTGACAGTTGTGACGAGGACAGTGATTGTGAATCGTTGGCTCAAGTATGTGGTCTGTTTGTTATTATGACATATCATTCTGTTTGTAGATATTTTAGTTTTGTGGTTTTGGCTTCTTCTACTCTGACTAAACTCCCTCCAAAACAGTTCAACTTGTTTCATGAAGTTTTATGAATTAAGTCATATTATTTTTGTGGGGATTTATCTCATTCATCCAGATACTACTCTGACTGTTTAAATTAAGCTATCCACTCTACAGCTGTAGAATTTAAGATGTCTAAGTTGTTACCAGAGAAAGTATCATAGTCCACTGTTTACCTTAGCAGGAGACCAAGGAGAATGCCACTGTGTCCTCTCCAAAGGAATCTGACTCTCTCTGTCAGAGAAGAAAGAATGTAGGTGAGGGGAGAACAGAAGAGAATAAGAAGTCCTGGATTGATCCACCAGAAGAACCCAAAACTGTCACTCTGACCCAGGCTGAGATTGAGAGCTGCATGCAGACGTACGAGGTGAAACTCTTGATATGGGGCAAAGAAATGCTCATTTTACTTTTCTTTATACAAACTATCTTGCATCATACAAATTCTAATAGTGTTTCATGGTGTTTGACGGCCAAAAGGACACACTCCAGGACTACCAAGAAATGTTCATTCAGTTTGGCTATGTGGTGCTCTTCTCCTCTGCGTTTCCCCTGGCGGCCATGTGTGCTCTTATCAACAACATAATCGAGATCCGCAGCGACGCCTTGAAGCTCTGTACCGGCCTGCAGAGACCCTTTGGACAGAGGGTGGAGAACATCGGACAATGGCAGGTCAGTGTGTTTTGTTTTGGAAAATGTCAGAAAAGCCTTCCAGGCTACATCGTACATAGTGAGGGCATCTGATCAGATCAGCCTATAAACCTCCCCCTCTCTCTCTCTGTTTCACTCTCTCTCAACATCAGACTGCAATGGAGGCCATGGGCTTGATAGCCATTATAGTTAACTGTTATTTGATTGGTCAGTGTGGGCAGCTCCAGCGTCTTTTCCCCTGGTTGAGTCCTGAGATGACCATCATCTCCATCGTCTTACTGGAGGTATGCGCTGTTCTGTGTACGGTAATTGAAGGTTTGTCCATGAAGAGTTTTAAGAGAAATGTGGCTTTACTCCCCAAGTGACACTTTTTTACTCTTACCAGTGAAGTAGAAATGTGCATGGCCTGCTATTCTTTGTTGTGACTGTAAAACCTTCAAAATCGACCCGTAGAAAAAAAAAATACAGAACAAGAAACAGAATGTGACTGTGCCTTGATGTAACTGTGTGTTGAGCCTGTCCCTTTGTGGTCTTGGTGGTTTACAGCACTTTGCAATCCTCCTAAAGTACATCATCCATGTTGCCATCCCTGATATCCCTGGCTGGGTAGCAGAAGAGATGGCCAAGCTAGAATACCGACGAAGGGAAGCTTTCAAGGTATAGTTGTATCATAGCTTGAAAGACCTTCGGCCTGCTGGCTGCACTTTGTGCAATTTACATCATATTTCTATATATTTACCCCTTTGTGTCCCTTAGGCTCTTGGTGTGCAGTCTTTTCTGACTGTCCACAAGAAATAATTGTGTGTCTGGCTACATTTGTCTGTGTTGTTGTATCACATCAGTGGCACTTCTCTTGATGGTGTCTCAGATAAGTCTTGTCAAGAGATAAAAAAGCACCACTTTTAGCAAAAGTCAGTATATTTGGTGTGAAGTCCCTAACAGCTTGTTTGTGTGAACTAACTGCTGGATAGGATGACAACTTATTCGACAATGAAGCTGTAAATGAGGGAGGGCACACAGGCTGTTACTCCCACTAAAGACTGACCTGAAGAAAGTTTCATCTGTTAGTCCTGTGCACTGTATTCACTGCTACCTCACATTAATTTATACTCTTCTTAATCGATTTTCTCCTCTCCTTCTGTTTCATTGTCTTTCTTTTTCTTTCTGTGACTCTTTCTCTCTCCTCTTCTCTGTCTTCATTTTAACACGCCTCCTTGTTTAGAAGCATGAGCAGCAGGCCCAGCAGCACTTCCAACAACAGCTCAGACGCCGACGTGAAGAGGGGGAGCTTCAGCGGCAGGCTGAGCTGCAGGCCGAGGCCCGCCAGGAGAGCGACTACCACAAGGCAGACACCCAGCACATGCACCAGCACCACCATGACAAAGCACCAGGCGGCAAGCCAGGGGACAAGCCAAAGAGACCCAGCTCTCTGCTGGGAAACAACAATGTCATGAAGCTAAAGCAGATCATCCCTCTCCAGGGGAAGTTTTCCTCCGGCACCTCACGCTCCCCAGCCCAGTCCCCAACAGGAGGTGAGGCAAAGCTCCCAGGATTTCTGAAGTTCTTGAAGTCGCCTGAGGTGAAGAAAGAGCCAGCAGTGGCAGTTGGAGCAACTCCAGGGTCAACAGTGACCTCCTCAGCTCCCTCTGGTGGCCAGGAGAGGTCACAGTCTCCCAACAGGACATTCAGTCCTGGGAAGCTGTTCAGCTTCAGCAAATCAGAAGGGACTGTAGTGTGTGTGAATGGGACACAACCAGCAACCCAGCTTACTAACGCTCAGCCCAACAGGGCTGACTTGAACACCTCGCTGGAGGAATTACCCTCTAATGAGTCAGATAAAGGAGAATCAAGACAATTGACCGATTTAGAAAACTCTGTCTCAAAGAGTTAATAAATGTTCAACCGTACCAATGTATCTCCTACCTGTGCTGTAGGAGAACACATTAGTCACAAGGACCACACGTAAGGTCAACGAGCGTTTAGACTTTCACTCTTGAGGCAACTTACTTCGCACAAAGTATTATACTGTATCTATTAACATTTGAATATCTAGCTTCCATGTAAAATATGTACAGTAAGTGTAACTCCCTGAATGGGGCTTGAGTAACCTTAACTGAAGGTTAAAATACTGCATGACTGCCTGGTTTTTAGCAGCACCAGAGCAGGTAACTGATGTGAAGGATCTTTTTTTCCAAAAACCAGCTGATCATCAACGAGCACTTGTGTCAAAGGACATTAACAGCAGCTTCTCACTCCAGGTTTGTTTCTCATTCTGATGCCTGTAATGCATGTTGCATCATGTGCATGCGTTACGTATCCATCGTGTCTTTTCAGTTGTGAAGCACTTTCAAAGCCATTGTATTCTTCTGCAATAGGTCAGATTATATTCACTGTGACCATAACAAATATTCTATTTTTCTTAACTTTGATTTTCTATGAATTATTTTACTACATAAATTAGTGAATGTACTTCTATAATGTAAATAAATCTCACTTGAATAAAACATCCATCAACAGATAACGCACTGGCTGAGTTTGTTAATAGCAAAAAGATAGAAATGGGTGGTAGACCGTTTTGCTGGATAGGTTGGTTTCATGGAAATAGGTATGTAACTACATTTTTAAGGAACATTATAGAGACTTCAGAATTCAGAACAGAACATACACTGTTGTATAAACACATCTCTGCCAGAAGGCAATTACAATACAGAACTGCAGTATTTGCAGAAAAACCTAAATTAAATGTTATAGGAAGGAGGTGAAAAATCTGGCTGTTAAATATGAGTAACAACCCCTACTGCATGTCAAGTCATATGTGTAGAACAAGAGTGAGATCTGAAAGTGACAATACATTTATACAATAAACTCAAAGCAAACCATTTCACAACCTAACATCCAAAACCTAATCATGTGATGGAATACAGACCATATGAAACAAGTAGAATAAGCACACTCTTCTATGAAGTAAAGTTAAGTAAATAAAACACTGCATGTCTCTGGTTTAAAGCCATACTTGGGAAACTTAGTGTGTGTTCTACTTATTTTGACTGATATAAACAAGCATATACTGTTTAATCTGGAACAAATTATAAAAACATAAAATAGACTTAACTGTCAATTGTGCCAAACATTATTGAAAATCTGGCAAAATATTTCCAGCTGATTACTTTTTATAAATGCACACAATGTGATATTTCTAAAGGTGCAAACCCAATTATGTAAGATGCTTATGTTTATTTTGAACAAACTCTGGCTTGAATCCTTCCAGCGTAAAATAACTAATTGGCTAAACAAATTGAAATAACTATATGGCTGGTTTATGAAAGAAAAAATTGTCACCTGATAAAAGGGTCAGAACAATTAAAATATGCAAAAAGAGCTGTGGAGCCTTGTGATGAGCTTTACTTACTTTATGAGCAGCAAACACAGACTATTTAACCCTGCTGTCAGAAGCTTGTAGATCCAAACACACATTCCCTCAATACGACTCAAATGATCAACTTATTTAAACAAATGTGAATGGCACATTTATAACAAGGATTGACAGCAGTTTCTTCAAGTCACCTATACGTCAGTACAGCTAAGTACTTGCAGTCGTCACCTATTCCATAAAATATTGTGCTAACCTTGTGATTACAAAGATACAAGCACTGCTTATAAAATGGTGATGTCATACTACTGAGCATCAAACTGGCTACAAAATCTGCAAGTCGCACTGTACAAAATGTTTGCTTCCTGTAGCATGACTCTATTGGCTTGAATGTGTCCGTATTTAAAAGACATGCTAATATCCATTCATTGCTCTTCCCCTGAAACAACATGTAAACCAAAGGACACTCTAAAACATAGTGAAAACACACTCACTTCCATTTAAGGCAATAAATCATTATTCATCAGGAGAAAACATAAAATTTCTTTCAGCACTTGTGTCTTCTTCTGCAACAGTCCATAACAAACCCTGAATGGACAATTAAAACTAAGCAACAAACACAATGCAGTTTTACTTCCTGTTACTGTAATGACAGCAATCACAAAGGATGGGCTAAAATAAAGTGTTTAGGAACACTGTCATTACATAATTTAAAACTAAAACATCCTAATGGAGGAGGAGCTACAAAAGATGGCATGTCACTTATCTCAGAGATGGTATGAACAACTACAGCAGTAAACCCCTAAATAACAGCAGGGGAGCAATGACTTTACGCCCTGCATAATTAAAAGAAAACTGATGATAAGTGAATGGAAAACCAGAGGGGTGGAGGAATAAGGAGGTAGATTTATGCTATTATCAAACTACAAAGACTGAAACCTGAGGCAGAGGTGTCTTGGAAGTAAAGAAAATACTGGATGAGAGTAGTAAACAAACTAAAACATTTTTGGTTAGAGGAAATCTGAAGTAAATACAAACATTAAGACAGATGTTTTGGGGGATTAATGTCATGCCTGCTGTAGTCTGAAATGTTATCAATCCTTGTGTGCTTCAGTCTCAAGGCGTGAGTTTGCAACCATGTATCCTGTATCTCTGTGTGCATTTTGTATGTAAAGGTCAGTCTCTGCTGTGTGTGCATCAATAGCACAGAAATCTACGAATCATCGTTCAGCTCCCGACTGTCTATTCTGGCAATTTTCCGTGGAGGGGCCGTGTTCTCTCCCTCTCCGTGTTCCTGCTCGCGCTTTTTAGCTGCATTCTAAGAAAGAAAGAAAGAAGCACATTTAACACACCATGAACCACAAAACAGAGGTCATCTACTGCCATTAATAAAACAACAAGAAACAACTTTCTCCTCCATTACGTTAGCTATTTTTCAAACCTTTACCTTTTTGTCCCACTGCTGATGAAGATACCTCAATAGGATGTTTGTCTTCTCTGTGACTATGACTGAGGAGAAACAACACGTACACTGATTAGATCAAGAGACACAATATTAAAAGGTGCAGAAAAGTAAAAAAGGAGTTGAAATCAGCTGTTACTATAGAGAGTATTAACTTAATAAACAGTAATCTGGAGGCAATTTCCTCTAATGTAAGTCTTAAACTAAGACAGTTAATAATCAAATGAGTGCTTGGGGTGTACACTTACATAACTACTACATTTCTTCAATTTTAACAGAAAATGAGCTGTAGTTCCCCTGCCCTGTAAACATTTTCAAAAGTTCATGCACTTACTCTGTTCTGATGGATATTCCCGGGTTGGAAGATACACAGATGGTCGACGGTTCTAAAACAATATCGGGATCCATGTTAATCTTCAAATTGCCTCGATTTACCTCAGATAATAAAAATAGCAGTACTACCGTGTGACATAATCTCTTGAATTATGAAGACATATGCAACACCATGAGCTCACCACATTTTTAGATAAATAAATGACTTACTGATGCTTTACATACAGAGTCTGCATGGAACCTGCTGAAGTTATTTTTGTTGTAGACAGGAAGTCCCTTCAGAAAATCTCCCTGTTAACAGAACAGAAAAATATGAACAAAAACACTCCCCGTACCAACAAATCCAACGAACGTAAAGTCCTCATTATGAGTGAGCAGTAATGTGGTATTAATTGACAATTGACGTCGTTTGCCATAACGTAACGTTACTCAACGTATCTGTCGCAGCCAACTACATAAGCGAACACCTACAGGTTAATCCCAAAACGACAAAGCAAAGAACCAGCAGTGAACCTACCTTCTCCATTTCTGTCAGAGCTCTTCGTCCGTTGACTAGCTAACGTTAGCCAAGAACCGTGAGAGTGAAAACGAGCTACTGTTTCTGCTAGCTAGCCACTTAGCCTTGATGTCTTTGTCGTAGCTAAGATACCGGTTTGTTTACCCGTTCGACAGCTTCTTACGACTGCTATAAAACATGAACTACGTATGACTTCGATATTGTCGCATCACACCACTTCAAATTCAGTATCAACAGCAACCTTCCACTCGTGTAAAGGTAATAAAAACAAAAAGTAAAACTGGACGTTCTTAGGAAGGTAACTTGCTACTAGTTCGCAACTCCATTTTTGTTGTTCGTCTTTTCGGGGGCGGATACCTTTCAGCAGCGGGCGTACTTCATTGGTTGAGAAGAGGTCGACGCGTGACGAGACCTAAACAGCAGTGTGCTTATTGGCTAGAAAGTCATTATGTAAACAGACCTATCTCCCAATACAAGGGGGTTGTGGCATGAGGCTCAGATGAAAACACAAGTACCTTCTGCAGTATGCCATTCTCCATGGACAGTATGTATACATGTATCTCTCAACTACTGTTACTGCGACGGTGAAAGTACTGAGATAATAAAGAACAACAGCAAAGCAATCCGTACTCTAAAACTCTGAATTATTATCATTAAACTATAAATGTAATAAGTAATTACTAATCAGGCTGTTTATTAAAGTATATTTTTTTCTGTCTTCTGTTTTTAAGTGTTCATATACAATGCAAACATTAGTAATAGGATATTAGAACTTCCAACAGTTAATACTTTAAAAATCACTTCATGACAATTAGTACAAATGTTTCAGCTAAAGCTGATGTTTATCTGTACATTATTATATGACTAGCACACAGTTGCAAAAATGGCAAATGCTGTGAAAGTGAGAATCCAAGAGAATGCTGTTTCCATTTTCTCTATTTTTAGTCATTGCAACTTCACAATCATTTTCAACAATTTCTTGGGTGCTAGTGGTATTCTGGGCTACCCTGCCTGATGAAACGCATGACCACAAGGACCTAATCCTTTCCCCCCAGCTCCTAAAACTCTTTTCCTACTGCTTTTAGTTAAATAAACCTGAAACTCATAAATAGTAGATTGCAGTCAACCCTAAGAGATCAAAATTTAGTCTCTTGAGGGAACAAAGAAAAAACCTTTGTACACAAACTACCTTTGGGAAGCAGTGATTTTTTTGTTTTCAATCACAAATGCAAATACATTTAATTCTGCAGGGATGGTTTTTATTTCAAAGTCAACCAGAATTGGCACTTTCACTTGAGAACAACTAAGATGACGCAGTTTTTTAAAGACAAAAATTGTCTTTGAACCAAATGATTTCACACAAGCAAAGAAAAAAAAAATCCATAAATCTACTAACATTTAATGTTTATGACCAAAAGTTTTATGAATGACAAATAGGGTGAAACTAGAAGGCTTTCATTTACCCAAGGCATATGCAACTTGTTTGTTGACGGCCCGTTTTCATTCTCCCATTCATTATTAATGCAATGGGAGTACCAATGCCCAAACCCACACCCATTATCACCAGTTAACCAATACACAAGTTCTTTGCAGAGCCAATGTTTTTTTCCCTCAGTCTCGCAAGTTTTGCAACAGGAACTTTTAGTGTGAGAGTGATTTCCGTCCCTTCAACATGCGCCGTAGAATCACCTCGATGCCGCCTTGTGAGCTGATCCTCTTGATCCATCCGTGTGTCCTCTTGCGTTTGATGTTCTTGGGCTGATACTCTGTGCCTCTTTTCCGTGTCCGTACCTGCTGGTATTGCCACGGAAGCTGTTGGAACACTCCTGAACCCTCAGCTTGTAATGAAAGTGGCCCACATCTGGAAATCTGGGCTCCTGCAGCTGCCCTGGGCACAATCCAGTTGCTGAATAATCTAAGGTGAGAAGTGCCAGTTACCACAAGGTTTCTGGCAGGGATGCTGCTGAAAGAGCACAGATGTTATGAATAAATGTTATTGTCTCGAAATTATGCCAAGATAGTGCCGTGATTACACTCAAGTTGAAATACATTTATGGTGCTGCTACTTAGTGTGGAGTAGTCTCATGCATGGATGTCATGCCTTGGTTTCAGAGAAACCAAAAACGAAGTATGTAAAGACTGAAAACAAATCTTAACTACTACTTTAAATCTTTAAATCCTCTTCCCCTGTAATATGCTTGGACAAAACAAATTCGGAGTAATGTACAAGTAAATAACTGCCACATGGTTTTGTTTTTCTTTAACATATAGTTCTATTATTTTATAACTTGCATCTGTTGATTCCATATTTCTATATTTTTAAATCAAATATTTATGTCAACTGTAAGTTTATGTCTAGCACTTAATCACCATAGCATATTCCTCGTACCTGTAAAATACTACATGGTATTAAAACTCCTGATTCTGATTCTAAACCACATCAACATGTGATCCCACTCCTTCAATATTAAGGATCGTATTAAGATTATTCACATGACATGTTGTTCAGTCCTTTATAAATACACAATGTGATTAAATGGCTATTTAAAGTCTAGAAATGAGGACAGGAATTACAAAGTGTCGATCTCTTTATTGTAAAGATGTAAATCAATACCGTCGTACATATATTGATGGGAACATTGGTTTGATTCGCTATGGTTAAACTATAATTGAATAACCTAACTAAATATATTATCCAATCAGCAGGTAAACCAGCCAGCTTCCTGCATGATTAACTAGCCACGCTGCTAACGTCCTGCTAAGCTATCTTGCTAATGGTAGCGTTGTAAACAAAAACCTCTGGCTTTATCTCGCATGAGAATACGTGAACTCTGTTACCTGATGAAATGGGTTATTCCACGCAGTCGGGAAAAAGACGACAGCATAATGTTAATTTTTAGATTCTTTATACAGTTGACATGCGAACAGTGAATGTCACAAGTATGTCTCACAGCCTGTGTTTATGAATCAAAATGATTGGCTCACACCTTTCAGCCAATTGAAATGCTTGTTGCTGGAGAAAACCAATATTTTATGCCCCGAGTACTGCCTTTCAGGTTAAACTCTTGGTTTACCGACCGACACACAATGTCTCACCAATAAAACGGTTAATTAGCAAGGATAACTGATCCAACTGTGAGGCTCAATTTTTGTGTTTAATGTCTGCCAGACGGGAGATACTAAACAAGGTAATCAATGAGATTTGTAAGAAGATTGTGGGGAAAACTGCCTGGCAGGTTACACTCGGGGGTTAAATGTATCAAAACTATTACCTCCGTTGTTTCACACATTTTATACAATTTATGCTTAACTCTTACAATTCTCAGTGTTTGAAACACTCTCAGTACTTTACTCTAAGTGCATTAATCACAAGTGAGTATACACCTCATTTAACTTGCAATAGGTTTCACTCAAATGTCAAAATCAAATAAATGTATTAATCAGTGCTCCACCGCTACCACAATGTAATTCCCTAGAAGAGGCGAACGGCTAAATATAAGTGTGTTCATTTACTTAATTTCTCATTTAGACTTAGATTCAATCGCCCAATAAGGCTAATTTCAAATATTATTTTAAGCCTGTAGAAGAGAATCCATCAGAACCTATGTCATACAAGCACCAGTTTCTACACAAAGCACATTTTCCCAGTTTTTTTCTGTAAATACTCTTACATCATGTACCATTTATAGCTAAACGTTACAGTTACAGTAATGTCGAAATACAACCAATTAAAGCAATTTAACACTATTAAAAAACAACAACCTATGTAAATCCTTTCCATCACCTCAGTGACCATTCAAACACTCCAGTGTTTCATAGCATGTTATCTGCCTCCCCCTTAATACCTCTGCCCGGATGTCCACACAAATGTTTGAAAGGTTACATTTGGATATCTTATTTTTAATGTGAGGATTGTGCGCTAATGTGGGAGTGCAGGATTCCCCACAAGCTATTTGGCAGGGTCATTGGTCTAATTGAGTTTTGAACCATTTTATTAAAATACCAATGCCGTTTCATAAACAAAATGCAGTAATTGTCATTAACACTGGCTGCCAAACAATAACAGAAAGTAGGCTACACAGATGTTGGCTCAAAGGCTCTCCTCCCCATGGACGTCATAACTGTCTGTTCAGTGACAGGCACCGGACTGCACCAGTACCATTTTTTATGCGACTTCAAGAACACCATAGTCTAAATGGTTAAAACTTAAAGGTCATTCCTTCAGTGATGCAGCAACCACGCTAACACCGTTTTCAGGTGTCAAATTATAATGATGCAGTTAAGGATGATTTAAACCCATGTATAGAATTGGAAATGTGGTCGCATGGCCATGTGTTAGAATATTTCGATAATTATCTAGCTGGACTATCATTTTTGATCATTTCTATCACTATCCTTGACCACACGCACGCGCCCACCCGCACGCATTTTGATATTCTATCAGCCTTGGCAACAAGGAAACAGGCTTCTCCCATTGGCCTCCTCTCAGTGTTCAGCTGTCTGTTATTCGCCCTCCTCACTGCCACTCAGGAGCGAAAATGCCCGGAGACTGCTGTGGCTGCTGCGGATGGAAGGGCAGCAGGGCTGGGTAGGGTCTGGTCTGAGTGCGCAGTGGATGGTGAGGGAGAAAAAACCCATTGGCGTTTGTTTTCGTGATGGGGATCATATTGAGATGCAATTGGCACACTTTTATGGATGCATGCTTTATGATCAATTCAAGCCCATCTGTGTTCAGTGATAGGAGCCTGATCAGGCAAATTAGAAGCGTTTACTTTTTTGTAGCATCTCTAGCGTAAACAAATTGTTGCACCAAATGCAACGTTTTCCTCAGTTCAGTTTCGTCGGCCCTTGACTGTCATCTTTTGGTGCATATTTCTCTTAAGCCTTCATCGTCAGTAACTCTGCAGGTAAGGAATCGATTTTTATTGCATTGCGTTGTGCTAATTAGCCGATGTTTATTGTGCACCATCTAGCCAATCGCATCAATAAGCAGCTGCACAATGCTATTTGTCTTGTGACAGCGCAAAAATAATAGATCTGTCAATAAAAACCGTAGCAATTATGGCCTTACTCACTAGATTGCCACTGATTTCTAATCTTTTTTATTTGTGATGCGACACTGTTAATTGGGCCTATTTATGACAATAAAATGTCATTGGCTGTGCATTTTTATTGTGAAAAAATTTGATTTAAGCTATACATAAAATTATTACTAGGTCCTACTACTGCGTTTTATGGCTTGAGGATTCTGAGTAAAAGGCTTGTATAACCGCAAAGCTATAGGACGTCTGTGAATTAGGCCTTTTTGAAAAGACAGAAAATAGTTTATAATGGTCTCACGTTTAAAAATAAACGCATTTCACATGTAGATATGATATAACGACTGCTCCATACTGTACGGTGTATAGACCCATGTTGTGGAAATAGAGCAGCACACTGTGTACCAAATGTGTGTCACTGTAAGACTTGGCAGACATATCAACCTAAATATTCTGCAATGCAGACAAAAATAAAAAAAAATATGGCTGAGTAACCTTCAGCATGTTTGACTTTAGAATATTTCAGATTCTGGTCCACTTGTTACCCTCTGCCACATTTAAATCCGGGTTGACCTAATTGTCTATAGATAGTAGGTCATGGGGAGAATCCCTGATTTAAATGGCAGGGATGTTAGTGTGTTAATGAGGTGTAGTGGCATCTCTACCAGGGTCATCAAAATTTTTAAACAAGGTCTGGTGATGTCCTGCCATGCTGTCAAATGGGTTCAGAGGACACCTTTATCTCATCATGTACAACTTGTCTGATTGGTTCATAATAATAATAGATAGATAGATAGATGATAAGGACACACTGCAGAATTGATACTTTAATACTTTTGATACTGTTTTATGAAATAAAAAAACACATTTTGAGACTTAAATGAAGCTCAATGCAGTTCATAAGACTGACAGCTGAGCTGCAGGTTGGAGTGTCTGCTTATTGCGCCAACGCTCCATTTTGATGTTTGCTGAAAGACAGTCCTCTGAGTCAACACTCACTTGGCTGCAGAGTGAAACTGAATAGCACTTGATGCACTGACCTTCAGACCATCCTTCCACCACCAACAACAGCATGCAGGCAAACACACACACACACACACACACACACACACATACACAAGTGTTCCTCTATCCCTGTGGGGACACCTCATTGACATAATGCCTTCCCAACCCTTTACCTGTTACCCCAACCTTAAACCACTACAACTACATGCCTAACATTAACTCTTACCCTAAACTTAACCTAACTCTAACATGAACCAAATGTTAACCCTCAAAAAGCAGTTTCGACCTGTGGGGACTTCAGTTTGACATTGACTTTGACATCAGTCCCCATAGGTTATGAGTTTATAACATAATAATAATAATAATATGCATCAGAAGAAATTAGAATTAGAATCTAGAATTGGTTTCAATATATACACTTGAAATGACTTTAATTTGGAATAATTATTCACTAATAAAAATATGGAATCCCAGCATACATGATTAAAATAATCTTTATCAATGTAACATGATATGCAATGAGCAGTAATGTGAAATCTGCCCTGTGGACAGTAATGTGCATACTGCGCTCTGTTTCACAATTTCTGTAACCAGGATACAATAAAACCTCACCGTGTAGATGTGAGTTTTCCCACACTGTTTCCTAGAGATAACCAGCCTGTGTTTGTATGAAATGTGAGGACTAACGAAGCTTTAGTTGTCAACAACTGCCAAAATACAGTTTGGCTGGACCTGGGCTCATCTCCATTGGAAACAATATAGGGTGAAACTAACTGATACCATACCGTTATGAGACACACTGCATAATTTGCAGGCATGTATACAGTCATGCCCTATGACTGGTGTTTTCTATTTATGTATATCCTGGTTCTGACCATGTGAAAAAGAGGGGTTATTAATAGTAAACGTCTAGGTTGGCATGTGAAGGGTCAGTGTTGACTGACATTGAAACTGTAGTGCGGCACAAGTATTGTTTATGAACTTGGAATCCCTGAATGTTAAGCTGCTTTGTCACCCAGGTAAGTGTGCTAGTAGATCTTTACACTGGCTGTTGGAGCAGCACTTGTACTGACCATGGTATTTTGAATTTGCATAGAAGTTTGGAGCCTGTTAAACTGATAGCACCCTTGCTCTTGGTGTGTTCTCACTCGTACTGGCTGTGGTCTGATGAAAGGATAAAGAAGACCATTTCATTGTAACTGTGTTGCTAAAAAACACTGCCAGCCTGGACCCACTTTCTTCCAGTTGAGCTGTTGACATTTGCAAACACTGCAACAAATAAACCTGGAACCATTAATAAAGCATATGTTTGAAACTGTGTGAAAAAAGTTGTGAAAAGCTAGTCAAGGGTTATACCCCTATGTTGATACATTGTCTGCTTTTCCCTTTTTCCACTTTTCATAAACCTACATAATCTGTGTTTTTAATTATATTTTAAATTAAGGATCTGACTAATGATGTGCTTTGTTGTACCTGTGTGATATTGTTTATGCAGGAAAGCACAATGCTGACCAGTATCACCGAAGGGATTCTGTGCTGCCTGACTGGGAAGGCTGCCAGTCTGGTCTTGCCCCTGGAGTCATCAGAACCCTCTAATGGTTTTGAGTTTGTGGAGGTGAAACCTGGGAGAGTCCTACGGGTGCGGCACATAGTCCCTGAGCGTCAGCCTATAGTAACAGAAGAGCAAGATGCAGGCAAGGAGAAGACGGAAGGCGACTGTGATGATGACGGCTCTCCTGAGGATTCTAATAATGAGAGCAAGAGCAGTGTCCACTGCAAGAGGAAGATCACAGTCTACCGCAATGGCCAGCTTGTGATCGAGAATCTCGGTGATGTTTTGCACTCTGAGATCCTGCAGTGTCAGGATGGGGATCTGGAGCCTTGTAGCACTGTAGAGGTGGAGCTTGCTGACTACAAAGAAATGCCCTCTTCTCCAGACCCCAACCCTGTTCCTCCTCCAGTTCCTTCACCTCTTGGGGAACAGAAACCTGCTCCGCCTCCTCGCCGCCGCCGTCGTAAGCCCAAACGCACTGTGCTAATCGACTCAAAGAGGGTGATCTCAAGCTGCAAAGGGACACACTCAGACGTAGCGCTGTTCTTCATGCATGGCGTGGGGGGTTCTCTGGACATTTGGAGTAGCCAGATGGACTTCTTCTCTCGGCTTGGCTATGAGGTCATCGCGCCTGACCTGGCGGGACATGGCGCCAGCACTGCCCCACAGATTGCAGCAGCTTATACTTTTTATGCCCTTGCAGAGGACCTTCGTGCCATCTTTAAGAGATATGCTCGTAAACGCAACATTCTCATTGGCCACTCATATGGGTGAGGATTTGTGAGATGCCTTCATTAAATATCATTCACTACTGGAAGCAATTCTTCGGTTTCTTTGCTAGTTGTCTATCTAGTGTTGATAAACATGCTGTTGTTAACATGCTGTACCCATCTCATTATACCTTCTCCAGAGTGTCATTTTGCACCTTCCTGGCCCATGAATATCCTGATCTGGTCCATAAGGTGGTGATGATCAATGGAGGGGGTCCCACAGCTCTTGAGCCCAGCCTATGCTCCATCTTCCAGCTGCCATCTTGTGTCCTGCACTGTTTGTCACCCTGTCTGGCCTGGAGCTTCCTCAAGTAAGATCTGCAATTATATATAATAATTGCAGATTTATATATATAAATCTTTATATATATAAATTGACACTAGAGACAGTGACACATCACAGTAACTACTCTCATTGCTAACCAAACAATCATTGCTAGAAAAACCTTAAAAAATAAGGGGCTTTGATCATCAAACTGTACAGGTAACAGTTCCAAGTAACACTTTCTTTCTTTTTCTGACCGTTAGAGCTGGATTTGCCCGTCAGGGTGCCAAAGAAAAGCAACTGTTGAAGCAGGGCAATGCCTTCAATGTGTCTCCATTTGTCCTGCGAGCCATGATGAGTGGCCAGTACTGGCCTGAGGGGGATGAGGTCTACCATGCTGAGCTCACTGTGCCCATCCTTCTGGTTCATGGCATGTGTGACAAGTTTGTGCCCATGGATGAGGACCAGCGCATGGCAGAGGTATAGTACATCTTTATATGTGAATGAGTGCTGATTTATCGTGTGATGTTAAATATGAAATGCTGTGTTTGCGCTTAGTGTTGTTGTTGTTGTTGTTGTTGTTGTTGTTGTTGTTGTTGTTGTTGTTGTTGTTGTTGTTGTTGTAATGTAATGGTCTGCATTCATTTTTGGTTTCCTTTCTAGATCCTCCTGTTTGCATTCCTAAAAGTCATTGAAGAGGGCAGTCACATGGTCATGATGGAATGTCCTGATACCGTTAACACCCTCCTCCATGAGTTCTTTCTATGGGAACCTGACATGTCCAAAAAAGATAGCGGCAAGACAGACACAGAGAAGACCGTTGCTCTGAGTGACACTCTCCACTCATTGAAAATCAATAAGGCTATGGACAAATAATCAACAAGGAGTTTAGTTTTATCACAGAACCAAGCAGAAGGCCTTTTTCGGCATGTGTTCTTAAGGCTGCTCCCAGGCTGAGAGCTGTTATTAGCAGGGCCACATCTTAAGGATGTGGACAGCCACTGGTGCTCCAAGATAAAGCAGGACTTAGGCATGGTGCCAACCAGAGAAAGATGGAACGAACATAAAGATAAGCAGGATGGATACACAGTTTCTGCTTTGCTTTTTGATACCAGTTTGTGCTCCATCGCGTCATGTTTGCAAAATGATACAACACCTTGAGGTCAAAAGGACTATGTCCATTCATGATTTGTGTATGAAATGTTTCTGGTGAAGAACTGACTACTACAAGATGTGAAAAACCATGAAATGGTGTGCGAATTTCCTCGCCTTTATCTAAAAATATTCTGTAGTACTGCAGAGCTTCTGTCCTTTACAAAATGGTCTTACATCTACTTTCAATGGGAAACTGGCAAAATAATATGCAGTGAATTGAGGATTTACAGATCTGATTTTCCAGTATGATGGTGAAGGACAGCTTATAATAAGAAAGTGTTGATAATAATAATTTATTATCAAATACTGACTGGATGGTATTCAGAAATGGTTTAAACACATTAAATATATACTGATGTACATGCAAAATGTAACTAAATAATTGCACCACATGCAAACATAGATCATATTATGCCAGAAGGAGAAACTTGATTGTTAATCTGCAATTTAGCCACCTATTAACCACATCCATACAGTGTGCATTGTACACCATATGAAAAATGAAGACTCACAATCACAGCTATTGTCAACATAATTGGCTCATATATTTCCAAATTACAGCAATTAATTTTCCATATGTTGAACTCTAATGTAAAATCTAAATCCAAAAGTTTTGTGTGTCTTTGTAAAGCACAATGTAACCAATTTATCAGTTCATAGTTGCATGAAAATTAAGTAATATTCAATGACAGATGTGTGTGAACTGGTTACCAAAACAAATGCAAACAAAAATGGATGCGAAAAGGTTCTACGTCTTTATTCTAGCAGCCATTTCCTCAATAGTAAATATTATCCTAAGGATACAAATTACTAAGACCCTGCATGAGTTCAGAATATGAAAAGGTATGAAGGTTGTTTTAAACAGTTGCAATATATTCTCATATTGAAAAAATCCCGGTGCACTCTTTCCTTATGAAATAAGTGTTATTTTGCCTTTATTCTGAAATAACAGCAACTGCCATAAGTAATTGTGGTTGTATTGACCGCTTCAAGCTGTTGTGTCTCTAAGTTGATACATGCAAAACAAGAATGTGTTCCCCTACTACTCTCCACTCCACCCTATTTATGTAATAGTGTCAGACAGAAAGAATGAGCTAAACATTATGCTCATTAATTCATGGGTGCTGCTTTGTCTCATAGTGGGACAGTAAGGTGTGAGTAAAAGCACAGTCTAATATTATGCCACGTGACAGTGCTTATCTGTTGACTGGAAAGTTAAAGTGTAAATTGGTGGATTTGTTAGACCGGGTGTAAAAAGCTTAAATTCAAACATGAGTCAGCCAGAAGAGAAAGTCCCCTAAAAAGAGGGACGTTTGTTCTGACTATGCTGGTCTGTTATATATGCATTTTGACAGAATGTGGATGCAACATGACAGGCCTTATGCAACTGGAACAAAATAGAGAGAAATAGAGTGGAAACAAGCTGACCTGGCATTGACACCACAAAAACATTATAAAAACCAACAAGTGCTGCTAATGCAATTGTACTGTATGTCTCCTTTGGTGTAAAAGGTCATTAAAACGGTATGGACTACAGGGTGCACATGTACTTCCTATTAATGCTAAACCTGTGCATATACAAATTGTCAGTGCTCATATGTGCTAAATCTTTTTGTGGTTAACAAAATGTGTTAATGTTACTGTTGCATTTATTCATGGGAATCAACAATATATGCACTGCCTAAATGTAGATGCATATAACATTATATAGCCTATCAAAACAGTTGGATTCAGTGTATGAATGTGCCTTTCCTGGCATGAAATAAAACAGATGTTCACAGTCTACAGGTGATTTTGCTTGTTTGTTTGTTTCCAGTTGTACTGTCAGTGAACAACAGAATAACAATAGTGTCATTAGAGATTGAAAATCTGAAGATGATGCTAATGCAATTAGCTGCTTATTTCTTCATTCTGACAAAAGCTGAAGGTACAAGTGTGACTTGATGCAGGATACAGCCACATGAGTATGAGTATGATTATCTTAAAAAAAAAAATTCAATAAATGCAGGTTCCTTGCCTGTCTACCTAATTAAATCAATTCCCCCAAAATTCCACATGAAAGCTCTTTACGTTATTGTCCTATATTTATTATTTAAAGCTTTTATTTCTTTCTTAAGTTTGTTATAATTCAGTAAGCTATTATTTAATTTACAGTTGCTTTAATTAAGTAAAAAATGACATGGAAAGAAATTACCTTGGGTAAGACTAGGTGGTTGAGTATTACTAACATATTAATCTAATATGTTTAAAACATATAAGGAACCACTCTCTCTATGTATCATTTCAATTCAAAGCTCAGCAACACCAACTGATATATTGGTTAGTTAAGTTAATATTTAAATTCACTACAGACATTTAACAAACATTTAGGCATCATAACAGGAGATATCTATTTTTAATTTACTTAATGTACTGGTTTTATTGTAAAGTGTTTTGGAGTGTCCTGAAAAGCGCTTAAGAAATAATATTATTATTATTATTATTATTGTTGTTGTTATTATTATTATTATGTTATACCACACAGTACACAGTACGTAGTAAGTTCACCTTCCTTCATAACAGATAAATTCAAAAGGGCATTATGACAGAGGTCGTTTGCCAAATGAATTGGAAGAGACAGACAACAAATGGATACAAGGAAATAAAGTATAATATAAAACTAAATAAATAGATACTAAGTACAAAATAGTCAAATAAATTGATGTAAAAAAAAGAAACAGAAAAAAGTGAGCAGGATCAAAAGTATATTAAAATAGAGAGTTCCTGTACAATATTAATTTGATAAGCATATTTATTATTATTTATAGCATGGATAGACTACTTTCTAGTCATTATTACAAAAAGCTGAAATATTAAACTAATGTTTTCATCCATCATATGACGCGCCATCAGAGCCGCCCTCTCATTGGCTGAGCGTGTCCCATGCGTGTTGTGGTAAACAAAATCTGAGGTGCGTGTGCTTGCGTAGAAGTGGTAATGGAGGAGGATAGTGATCTGCTACCAGGGGCTTAGTTAGCAAGCTGTCTTTTTTCTTTTCTGTTCACAACTGCTGTTTGTCTTGATTTCGAGGTAGCAAAGGAACAACGTCTGAATCAACCTAGAGGAAGTGGTATGTATCTGCATCTCAAGTTAGCTTACGGCCGTCGCTGGTGGTTAGTTTCTTAATCACAATGCTAATCTGATTGCTAAACTAGCCGGAACTGCTGCACAGCTAATCGTCGATGCTAGGCGTCGGGTGCAGTCTATTTCCTGGAATAGATATAACTGACTTAGCGAATGATATGTTCACAGTTAGTGTTGTATGTGAAACTTATGTTAAGTCCAATATGTTGAACAGCGTTTTTATAAATAAGCCAGTTCAGTGTGGGAACGTTACAGCTAGCTCTATCCAAGTTTCCTAATGTGGCACAATAACGGTATACGAATGAGCTGCATAGACTGTAATCTAAGTTAGCGCTAGATTTATTGATTCATGTTATACAGAAGATAGTCCCATCCATTAATGGAAGCTAGCTAGCCAGCTAGCTATTTAGCTGCCTTGCGACTATTACTTTTTCATGTCCATGAGAACAATATGGCAAGTTTACTGTCGGTAGTATACGTTCATTTGTTCTGTTATATACGTGATCAGAACTTAGTTGCACTTGAATAACACTGAAAGCATGTGCGCTATCAGACCAGCTAATGCTGTGTGTCATTGCATATTCATTATATGAATTAGTTCATGTTTCTTTAGCGAGTTAGCAAGTGAGCCAATGCAAGCTGGCTGTGTTTCCACGCTGGGGCCGAATTAAAGAGACGCTGGTTTAACCAATCAGAGGCGGGTATAGTTTGTCCCAGTCCTGTCCCAGCCCTGTCCCTATTAGCTTGTCCCCCGCAAGAGTGAGGAAACATAAAAACACATCAAGTATGTAAGTATAATCAGACAAATGTACTTAAAGTATTAAAAGTACTCTGTGCAGGAAGAAAAATACATTAAATCATTATTATTACTCATGCATTCATGTAAAAGCATTTAATGTTGTAGTTGGTTGAGGTTGAACTATTTTGTATTACACTGCAATTAATGACAATTTTCATTATGGATTAATCTGCTGATAATTTCCTCCATTAATCGATTTTAAAAATTACCGAAAATAATGATAAGTGTTGTCATAATTGCCCAGAGCCCAAAGCGACACCTTCACAATGCTTGTTTTGTCAGTCTAAACCTCAAAATGACTAGAAAAATACATTAAAATAATCAAAAGGAAAAGCAGCAGATCTTCACATTTGTGCAGCTGGAACCACAAAATGTTTTTTCAAATATTATCAAAATAGTTGCCAAATTTCTGTAAGCTATTAGCTGTACTTGTATAAACCGTGGGATATCATCATATTTTAAATATTTTTCATATGTTTTGTGAGTGTTAAAATCTTCCTTTTTAAGTAATTAAATGAAGCTGTCATATAAATGTAGTGAAGTAAAAAGTACAATATTTCCCTCTGAGAAGTAGTGAGTAGAAGTAGAAAGTGGCAAATCAAAAGACAATACTCAAGTATTGAGTAGTCATCACTCGGGTTACCAAGTAGTTGGTATGTTGAAATGTTAATCAGCAACCACTTTGGCAAATCCTGAAAATTATTATAGCTATTAACTACAAAATCCTATTTTAATTTTATATATATATATATATATATATATATATATATATATATATATATATATATATAAAATCAATGAAACTATATGGATGCAGTCCAGTTAAAGATAAGTGGCGGTGGGTAGAATATTTATAGAGAAATAGCTGATTTAAAACCATACTGGATATAAACCTCACATCATAAAATAATAATTTCCCTTTTACAATCCACAGGAGCTTCCAGTGAGTTTTGGGATGGCATCGGACGTTGTTTCCCAAAACCATGGCTCCAGGGGGATCATGACTTTTTACCCCACTGCTGAGGAATTCAAGAACTTCACACGCTATATTGCGTATGTGGAGTCCCAGGGAGCACATAAAGCAGGCCTGGCTAAAGTAAGTACTGATGCATTTCATGTGTTACCACAGACCATATTCACACCCATTGCAGTGTTTATGGGATCATATTTGGGGAGGGGGTGATGATGAGTGAATGCATGATTTAAAGCTAGCCAATATCTGTTTTTCTGCTATGAAATTATTTTTATTATTACATGTTTACACTAGCTTCTCAGAAAAAGTAATACTTGCATACCCCCAAAGCTTTGCTGGTGAATAATCCTGAAAGCACACATGTTAAAAAAGAAAAATAACTCTGTCTATTTTCCTTCTGCAAGATTGTCCCACCAAAGGAATGGAAGCCTAGAAGCTCTTATGACGATATAGATGATTTGGTGATACCTGCACCGATTCAGCAGGTGGTAACCGGCCAGTCGGGCCTTTTCACTCAGTACAACATTCAGAAGAAGTCCATGACGGTCAGGGAGTTCCGCAAGATTGCCAACAGCGACAAGTGAGAAGTGCAGTAATTGAGGACTTTTAAGCCTTTTTCCCCTTCAGAAATCTGCAGTTGATCTACAGTCAGATGCATTTTTAACCTTTAGATGCTGAGCTTCATTTACGATGTTTGCACTAATTAACTATTGTTAATGCCTTTTTTTTAGATTCTGTAGTCCACATTATGATGACTTTGAGGAGTTGGAAAGGAAGTACTGGAAGAATGTGACATTTAACCCTCCCATATATGGGGCAGATGTTAATGGAACTCTCTATGACCCTGTGAGTTGACAGTATTCAGTATATCAGTATTGATGGGTTTTCTGATTGCTGTGTATCCGTTCTGTCCTGTCAAGGGATGCTGATAAACACTAATATGATCAGTATTGTTATTACTGCTTCAGTTCTCATCTGTGAATCTTGGATTTTCTGCTGTACTGCTGCAGGAAGTCAAAGAGTGGAACATTTGCCACCTGGACACCATTTTGGATACCGTTGAACGTGAAAGCGGCATCACTATTGAGGGTGTTAATACACCCTACTTGTATTTTGGCATGTGGAAGACCACCTTTGCATGGCACACTGAAGACATGGACCTCTACAGTATCAACTACTTGCACTTTGGAGAGCCCAAATCATGGTAAAGACACAAACTATTCTTTTCTTGATCAGACACAGAAATGAGGCGTATGATTCTTACACATACTAGTGTAAGTATGTGTAAGAATCATAAGCCTCATATCCTGGTTATCATAATCTAAAAATGTTGTGATAGTGATTACCCACTGCTGCTTGAAACCCATAGGAATCGCAGTTAGGAATATGCAGTGTTTCCCCTAGGGAAAGACAGTTCAGCCTCATCCTCTCCTCAAAGTTGTAAACATTGGCACCTGCCTTGACACGAGGGGGAGGCTGGCCCTTGCATAATTTGCTACGCTACTAAGCGCATAGGGCCGCACGGCTCTGCTAGCCGCTGACAGAGAAAAGCAGGCAGGTGAGAACAGGCATGACCCAGGAGGCACTATGTGATGCTGTATAAGCATCACATAGTGCCTCCTGGGTCATGCAGTTTATTTATTACCATTATGAATCGCCCCGAGAACATGATATGGAGAGGGCAGAAAAGAGTCCCGACAGTGTGAGAATGGTCAGCACATACTAAAGTAAAAAGTGCCAGTACTGCGTACCTGCGTACTTCAAGCACTGCATATAAAACGCCAATACAACATGTATTACATGTTGCAAACAAATTTGGATCAAAAAATAGTTTTAAAATCGTTATAGAAGTGGGGATAAAAAAAAATTAACTGTTTACAGT